CACACACACACTCACTCACTCACTCACTCACTCACACACACATACACAAACTCACTCACACATACACACACTCACTCCTCACTCACTCACACACACAAAACTCACTCACACACACACACACACACACACACACACACACACACACTCACTCACTCACTCACTCACTCACTCACACACCCCTGCGCTTCTGTTCATTCAGTCATAATTATATCTCTTCAAGATGGCCACCTTCTTCAGCAACAGCCTGGATTTCTTGGCGTCGTGTCCCGGCTACAGTCCACGAGGAGGCTTCATGAACCCGCTGCAGGCCGACAGCGTGATGAAGAACAAGAGACGTGCTGCCACCTACATGAGCACCATCAGAAAGGTCTTCACCACTCACTCACACACACGTCTGAACGTCTGAGCTCTGCAGTCCTGTGGGACAGACTGTGAATTAGGAGACTCCCACAAACAGGGATGAGATTTTTCCAGATTTATCCAGATTTTCGTAGTTTCTGACCTGAAAAGTATGATTCATCTCATTGGGGGAGAGAGAGATCAGAGTGGGACTCTAAACCCATGCAGTTCAGACCTCAAGTCCTACTCTGTGCAGTCCAGTCCTTCAGATGCAGTAAATTGAGTCGTTGTATTGTTCACTTGACTGAGCGTTGTTGTGTGTTCAGGTGCGTTCAGAGTCTGTGCCGTACAGAGAAGCTTTAGCAAACAGACACGTCCTGACGAGCTCTACAGAGAGCAGAGAGGGACTCATGCAGCAGGTACATGTGTGTGAGTGTGTGTGTGTGTGTGCTGACGGTGTGTGTGTGTGAGTGAGTGTGTGTGAGAGTGTGTGTGAGAGTGTGAGAGCGCGTGTGAGAGCGCGTGTGAGAGAGCGCGTGTGAGAGCGCGTGTGTGTGAGAGTGTGTGAGTGCGTGCGAGTGTGTGTGCGTGCGTGTGTGTGCGTGCGTGCGTGCGTGAGTATGAGTGCGTGCGTGTGTGTGAGTGTGTGTGTGAGTGTGAGTGAGTGCGTCTGTGTGCGTGTGTGTGAGTGCGTGCGTGTGTGTGAGTGTGTGTGTGTGTGAGTGAGTGTGTGAGTGAGTGAGTGTGTGTGTGTGTGACTGAGTGTGAGTGAGTGTGTGTGTGTGAGCGTGTGTGTACGTGCGAGAGTGCGTGTGAGTGTGTGTGTGTGTGAAGTGTGTGTGTGCGCGCGTGTGTGTGTGTGTGTGCGCGTGTGTGTGCTGACGGTGTGTGTGCTGACGGTGTGTGTGCTCGTCAGGTGGCTCAGAGTCAGGAGAAGATCTCTCGTCTGGAGCAGGAGAAGGAGCACTGGCTGCTGGAGGCTCAGCTGGGGCAGGTGCGTCTGCAGAAGGAGACTCAGCGCATCGCTCAGCTGGAGGCTCAGATCACCACCGGAGGTCCAGCAGAGACACACAGCGCCGCAGACGGCCCTGATCCCGAGTGTGCTGACGCTCCAGAGCCCCTTCAGGACAGCAGCGTGGTGAGTGAGACACACACACATTCATGTGTGGATCAGAGGGTCAGTGACTGCTCTCAAACACTCCTGTGTGTCCTGATGGTTTGGTATTTTAAAGAGGTGCGTGGCCTGGTAGCGTCCAGACAGTTTACAATGAATTATTCAGTCGTTTATAGTTTAAACTGGAATCTACTCAATACAATTAATCAGAACTTTTATATAATCCCCATAAAATCCTGTTCTTTCTTCATTCAGTACCATTGACCATTAATGAGCAAAAGCAAGCAAAACTAAATATATTCACATATTCATTCAGGGCATTTATACGAGTTCATATGCACTAAACACCAATACACCGATTTCAGCATTACAATAAATCCAAGCACAATACAAGTTCATAGACCCATATTCAGATCAGAAGAAACGATTTTGAAAATGTGGTTTTTCATTATTGTGGATTGTGTGCATTTCCATTCAAACCTCTAAATCCAAACAGAACAAATCATGTACAAAAACCATGAAGTAACAAGTTGACGATACCTCAAATAAACAAAGGCAGAGATTCATCGGCAGTTAAATCACGACAGGTCATGATCAGATCACGGCATCAGCGGGAGAATTATACACAGTCCTCTGCAGGAGCGACGCTTAGCACAGCAGACGGCGTGTTGTTCAAAGGGCGAACACCTTTCTAGTGGAGTTTGTGCTCTGAGGAGTGTCACAATCACAGACATGAGCTCCTGAATCAGGAGAACCCAGAAAAACTCATTTTCATTTTAAATCGTTCATATTTCCAGTGTGTGTCATAGAGTTCACGTGTACTACTACTTTGTGGCAGGTGTTTTTTTACTGTAGATTATAACTTCATGTAACCTGAACTTTGTTTAAAACTGGGGTATGCAGTACGGGTTATATAATCTGTTATCAGATATTACTGTCTGTAATGTGTTCTGATGTGTCTGTATTGTCAGATCGGGATGCTGACCATCACTCCCTGCAGCGAGAGTGTATGTATTCATGTTCATTAACTGTATCTGCACACTCCGTGATACTGTATGAATATGAATCATGAGGTGTTTGTGTGCCGTAGGCTGCAGATCAGGAGTCTCGTGAACATCTGATCAAGCATCATTACATGAGCCGTGTGTCAGAGCTCACCTCTCAGCTGCAGATGTGTGACAGTAAAGCCGTCCACTTCCACGCTGAGGTCAGTCATCACAACTAGGGATATGCCGGTATCAAATTTTCATGTTGCGATTAATTGCTAATAAATATTTAAGTATTTGGCGCTGTGATGAACATCATAGCAAATACACAAATCTGAATGGCTGTTTAAATCATTTAAACACGATTCAGAAACAGAAAGTAGAGCAGCTGCTTTGTTTACAGGGTAAATGAGTTATTATTATTATTATTATTATTTCTGCAGTTTAGCGTCATCTGCTGTCAGAGAGTGAAAGTGCGCTTTCATCCAGAGCGTCTCTCACATGTTCCGCCATGTGCTTCTCGTCCGCTTGTTTACATCAGAGTGCGCAGGCGTCTTTCACGCAGCATACAGCCGTGTTGTGCAATTTGACTAGTTGATGGGAAAAGTATTCTTAAAATGCATTCAAAATTCTGAATAACTTGTAATATATAATTATTCACGGTATTTAGAAGTGCCCACGATAACAATATCGTGCATATTCATTACCGTGATATATCGCATTACCGAAAACCGGCACAAGTCTAATCACAACACACTTCAGCCGGCAGACCTCAGGAGCCATTAAAACACCTTCAGTAAATGCAAGCATTCAACAGATGCTATTCCTTTGAAAACACATTTAAAAATGATCTTGGTCATGCACAGTTTCTCTGCCCTTTTAGAGCCGGATGATATCTGAGATCGTCTGCATTCAGATCTAGATGTGTTGTGTTTATATTGTGATCATATATGAGTGCTGCAGAGACTCAAGGAAATGACTGAGCGATCAAAGACCATTAACCGAACCCTAAATGAGAATAAACAATACTCAGAAAGTAGTAGTTTTAAGTGGAAAATAGCCATTGTCACAGAGTCTGATGTGGGTTATCAGTAGGGCTGAGGCCATATGGCCAAACATTATGATCATTTTTTTCCATATTTATTATGATATTCATTTACCATTGATGGGGAAGGAAAAGCTTTCCACAAGTTTGTTAGACCTTGAGAATGAATGTAAACTGTTCACTGAGTAAGATACCTTTTGATTTAAGGCCCAAAGAAATTTGTTTTATTTTCCCCTCAATTCTGTTTTCTATTTTATTTTTTCCTGGATTCTGTTTTATAATTCAATACAAATGTATCATAAAAAATGGTAAAATGAATGCAATTAATTAAAACAACTTTAGCAGTTTCATTGATCTTTTAAAATGTGATCACTTAATTTACTACAAAACTCTGCATTTTTAGTTTTGGTCACATAAGATGCAGCACAGCAGAAGTGTATAAATTTCAACATGGATGAAAAAATATCTTGGTTGTATGATATTCCTTTACAATATTAATATTGTTGTTATTACTTTGAGAAGTACATTTTAGAATAGAATAGTAATATATTTCTGTCATAATTCCTTCAGCTTTTATTTGAATAGGTTGTCGTGAAGATCTTTCAGTTTCAGTCTGTATCTGCCGGTAGTTTTTCTCAAAGTAAACTGAAGCTGCTGAAGTGAGTCTCAGAGCAGCTCTGGAGATGAAGTGTGTTCCTGTGTTCACGTTCTCATGTATTGAGACGCAGACGCTTCAGCACATGCTGCTTTATTTGAGGTGATCAGAAGCGGTCATCATGTCTCTTCCAGTGTCGAGCTGTGGCCAAACGCCTGGCGATGGCAGAGATGTCCCGCGAGACGCTGACAGAGGAGCTGAAGCTGGCTCATCAGAACACCACGCGCTTGCAGGTATGGCTAGAGCAGCACTCTCCTGACTCAGTGTGTGGTGTTGTGTTTGGCTGACACGCTCTGCTGTGCTTCAGGACGAGCTCAGCACCACCAAGAGGAGCTATGAAGACCAGCTGAGCATGATGAGCGACCACCTGTGCAGCATGAACGACACGCTCAGCAAGCAGCGCGACCAGATCGACTCGCTCAAGCTCGCCTCCAAGGTCAGACCTCAACATTAGCACAGCGCTTCAGTCCTTAGCATCCACATGCAGTCGTGGCACTGTGTCCCGGGGTCATTTTAGCTCTCAAATATGGCTTCGATTTCTTCATTTTAAAACTCTTTCTTCATTGATATCTTATGAGGGATAGCTGCAATGTGTGACAGTTGAATGGAAACGAATGCAGATGTTACAGGACATAAACTCTTTTAGCTAAACATTTTTAGCTGTTCAGCTGCTGTGTGAATTTGTTAAAATAGGAGTTTCAAGATTTGTCAAACTGTGTGCAAGATGGTTTTCGGTGGAGTTCAGCATGTGCTCTCAGATTGAGCTCGTGACACGAGGAATCCTGTTTTTCTGTTTTCTTTAGACATGTAAGAGACTATAGTCAATAATGCTATAAAATACTGTGTTTCAGACCTCAGTTTCCTCCTCACTGGAGAATTTGATGAAACTGAGCAGCCAACATGACTTATTTTCTACATCCTCCACATTATCAGTCTGGAAACAAGCTAGATCTCAAACCCATCACCGTTTGTTTGTTTGTTTGGCCTCTCTTTAAAGATTTAAGACTCCAGCATCCATATTTGACTGACTTTTAATACATCGCCGGGTAATATCGTAGCTTACATTTTGAGATGAAATAAGAAATCATGCAGTTGAGATTGGCTGTATAGTATATCTATCACTTTATGTGAATATACAGTATGTATTAGGGCTGTGCGATATTGAAGAAAAATGCGATATGCGATACGATATTGCTTAAAGTGTGTAAAATCAATTTAAATTATATTTTAAAATATTTTAAAATGAAAATTATATAACCAATTTGTTTCACATTCTTTCTTGGAAAAGAAAGAATCACTACAACTTCTGAAAGTGACCAGCAGTGTTTTAGCAGTACATAAAAAGTAGTCACAAATCAGAAAATGTCATTTTAACATCAATGTGAATGACAAAAAAATGAATGACACTAATTTTATATCATTGTGACTTTGCTTTCCACACACTTTAAGTACTTCTTCATACCACAGCAAAAACTATAGTCTGAGAAAGTTCAAACATGATTAAAGGCAAGTGAGCAGTCAGTAAAAAAAAAGAAATACACAATTTACAAGAATAGATAATATAAACAGTAGTATTCAGATACAGAAATTTAATAATTAAGTGTAAAATAACACTGCATAGTGTTCACTGTATGAATTAAATTTAGATTAATCTTTGTTATAGCTGTTTTGTTGTTTGATTAACATTAGTGACATATTCAGCAGCAGGTATTTATAGGCCGCTGTCCCTTTAAATCCGACTGCACGGATCCAGTATAATGATACACATCTGATTTCTTTCTCAGCTGTTTACATTCATTTAAAACATAACCGACTGCGTTTACGAGAATGATCGTCGAGACGGGTACTATTGACATACTTCTGTGTGTATGTGTCTGTTCAAACATGAGGAGATGCGAAAGACGAATCAACTCGGTCTGAAACACGTCGGCAGAACAGAAGATACGCTGTGTGAGATGCGGCTTGTGCGCGCCAGTGTTGCCAGACGTACGATAATTATCTTATTTGTACGATAATTTTGACCTCTGTACGATATACGATCAGTAATGAAAAAAATCCCATAATGTGCGATAATTTCATAATTTTATGACAGTTCAAATGATGGTAGTTGTAGTCATAGGGCTTCTATATCCATACCCGAAATCGGCTCATTACAGACACTCTAAATGCGCTCGTGCACACCTCAGAGTGTGTTAAGAATGCAGGAGGGTGCCCTGCTTTAAAGCCAACGAGCACCATGTTGCGGTCCATGACGGCAAGAACTCCCTCAATATCTGCAGGTAATTTGCAGGTCATGTCAAAAAGTTGTTGGTTTAGATAAATAGCTGTATTCTGTACGTTTGACTTGAGTATGATGACTTTCTTCCAAATACGATAATTTTGAGCTTCTGGTACGATACTTGAACATTTCCAGTCTGGCAACACTGGCGCGCGCTTCAGGTGTGAGTCAGACAGCAAGACGAGACGGCAAAGAGTTGTTTTCTGCAACTTATTGCACTTAATAACTTTTTAACGTCAAGCAATTCTCTGCTATATGCGTCGAACTAAAAATTTGACCTTTTGCAACGTTTTGATTTAAGTAGCCTATTATTAAAATAATAATGGTATCGCACGCCGTTGCGATATGCATATTGCGATATTTACATTTGCGATATTTTGATAATTTCGATATATCGTGCAGCCCTAGTATGTATGCAGGTAAAGCTGGATATACTTACAGTAGTTGTATAATTTGTTATTAATCGGTTATGTGGTGATATCGAGAATTATGGAACCCAGAAGGCTTTGTTCGTCTCATAACAATGTGTTGTAGTGATGAGCATTATTACTATTAGAGTTCAGCCAAAAATCATCATTCTGTCCTCATTTACTCATCATGCTGTTTCAAACCTGTATGAGTTTCTTTCTTCTGTTGAAGACAGAAAAATATATTTTGAAGAATGTGTGTAACCAAACAGTTGCTGGTAGCCATTGACGTCCATAGTATGGAATTCAATAGGGACCAGCGGCTGTTTGATTACCCCACACTCTTTTGTGTTCAGAAGAAGAAAGAAACGCATACAGGTTTGGAACAACATGAGGATGAGTCAGTGAAGACAGAGTGATACATTCTGGCTGAATGATCCCTTTAACTCTTCTCAGAAACACACTATATTGCTGCTGATGATGCTGTTTGTCAGTGTAGAAACTAGGGCTGGGTAAAAAATATTGATTTCTTTATTTTAATCAGTTCTCATTTTTGTGAAACGATATTGATTCTTAAATCCCAAGAATCGATTAGTCTAGCCTGTTTTCAGATAATGAATGGAACATTGTAGCGCGCCTCCCATCTAATAAATGGCAATAAGCTTTGTGCTTTGTTACTTTTGATATGAAACTAAGTCTCAGATTTCAAATTTTGTCCATTTTATTACAATATTCAAACAATAAATGCCGTTCTCTTTGGTATCTCACTATGGGAACCCCTCAGACATGATCCGCTGCAAAAGCACCACGTCTTTCAGACTTCAGCGGCCTGCCTGCTGCTGCTGCGTCGTTCTTGCTTTCTTCCATGTGAAGAAACTGACCCATTATCCGATTTACCATTCAGCTGTTTATGAACCTGGGGTTCAAGGAGAATCACGTGAAGAGCCGTTTACTCCCCACTCAGGAGATAAACTGTCTGGGTCTCAGACTGAATTCAGTGCAGCGTTCTTGTCTGAAGAACGCATCAAGTCATTCCACCGCTGCATTTCTCTTTCTCAGAAAGGGAGATGGGTTCCTCTACAGTGGCCGTAATTCCTCTAGGGCTGTTGAGGATGAGAGTATTTCAGCACTGGACGCCGGCTCAGCCGCACAGAAAGGGCTCTACACCACTGGGTACTGCGTCAGGTCCAGTCACTCTAAGAAAGGTGGTGACGACGGATGTGACGCTTTCTGGGGGCCGGGGGCCGGTGTTCGAAGGCAGAACGGTGTGGGGTGTAGGGCTGTGAAAATGGCTGAAAAACTACATTCGAATTTTTTACTTCAATTTTATCAAAACTCGAATTATATTCTAATTTAAAATGCATGACTTCAGTTAGGGTGAAGAAAAGCTTTTGGCTTCTCTCCTGAGGCCACAAGAGGGTGCATCGAGCAAATATTACTAATGCACGTTTATTCAAACATCAGGTAACGCAACTATCTGTGAAAAAAAGTGCATAATGTTTAAAATAATGTTTATAAACCAATTATAATTAAGTTGCTTAAACACCTATAAACAAAACAGCATCATGTATGTAAGCATAGTTTAATACAAAGGGCCGAACACCAATCACACAGAGTACATTTTTCATTTAAAAACATGAGATGCAGTGGGATGGGGAAAAACCCCGCTATAAAGTCTCGAGATATGTTTTTTCAAAGTTGAACTTGCATTCATTTTACATGGATTTCTAAACATGTGGCTCTTTTGTGCATTAACAACGCAGCAGCGCATACAGGTTTGGAACAACATGAGGATGAGTCAGTGAAGACAGAGTGATACATTCTGGCTGAATGATCCCTTTAACTCTTCTCAGAAACACACTATATTGCTGCTGATGATGCTGTTTGTCAGTGTAGAAACTAGGGCTGGGTAAAAAATATTGATTTCTTTATTTTAATCAGTTCTCATTTTTGTGAAACGATATTGATTCTTAAATCCCAAGAATCGATTAGTCTAGCCTGTTTTCAGATAATGAATGGAACATTGTAGCGCGCCTCCCATCTAATAAATGGCAATAAGCTTTGTGCTTTGTTACTTTTGATATGAAACTAAGTCTCAGATTTCAAATTTTGTCCATTTTATTACAATATTCAAACAATAAATGCCGTTCTCTTTGGTATCTCACTATGGGAACCCCTCAGACATGATCCGCTGCAAAAGCACCACGTCTTTCAGACTTCAGCGGCCTGCCTGCTGCTGCTGCGTCGTTCTTGCTTTCTTCCATGTGAAGAAACTGACCCATTATCCGATTTACCATTCAGCTGTTTATGAACCTGGGGTTCAAGGAGAATCACGTGAAGAGCCGTTTACTCCCCACTCAGGAGATAAACTGTCTGGGTCTCAGACTGAATTCAGTGCAGCGTTCTTGTCTGAAGAACGCATCAAGTCATTCCACCGCTGCATTTCTCTTTCTCAGAAAGGGAGATGGGTTCCTCTACAGTGGCCGTAATTCCTCTAGGGCTGTTGAGGATGAGAGTATTTCAGCACTGGACGCCGGCTCAGCCGCACAGAAAGGGCTCTACACCACTGGGTACTGCGTCAGGTCCAGTCACTCTAAGAAAGGTGGTGACGACGGATGTGACGCTTTCTGGGGGCCGGGGGCCGGTGTTCGAAGGCAGAACGGTGTGGGGTGTAGGGCTGTGAAAATGGCTGAAAAACTACATTCGAATTTTTTACTTCAATTTTATCAAAACTCGAATTATATTCTAATTTAAAATGCATGACTTCAGTTAGGGTGAAGAAAAGCTTTTGGCTTCTCTCCTGAGGCCACAAGAGGGTGCATCGAGCAAATATTACTAATGCACGTTTATTCAAACATCAGGTAACGCAACTATCTGTGAAAAAAAGTGCATAATGTTTAAAATAATGTTTATAAACCAATTATAATTAAGTTGCTTAAACACCTATAAACAAAACAGCATCATGTATGTAAGCATAGTTTAATACAAAGGGCCGAACACCAATCACACAGAGTACATTTTTCATTTAAAAACATGAGATGCAGTGGGATGGGGAAAAACCCCGCTATAAAGTCTCGAGATATGTTTTTTCAAAGTTGAACTTGCATTCATTTTACATGGATTTCTAAACATGTGGCTCTTTTGTGCATTAACAACGCAGCAGCGCCGCATCTAGTGGCTTCAACTGGATAGGCTAACAAAAACATTAAAATGCAACGACACTAACATCGTCATCGCATCTCGTGCGCCGCTGATAAAGCTGCCTCCTTTAACGCACACCTAAAATTCGAATGCAACGTTTTTACATTTTTCGAATGTGGATTTTTATTTTAAATTCGCCGAATATTCGAAATTCTAATTTTTTTTAACCGCCCTAGTGGGGTGTGTGGTCTCCTTCTCAAATGCAATAACACTGTGCCTAGCTTTAAACCGCTTTGTTCATTTCCTTCAGGGATTTCATACGGTGGTGGCTTATATAAAAAGATGGGGGGGGGATTATGTGGATCAGCACTCTGTTTCTGTCGTTACGGGCAACACATGTGCCGGGAATAATGAACGGGAGTGGATCTGTTGTCCAGAGGGAAGCCCCTGTACGGAGAATGGAAACTTCACCCGCAGCTGGTGATTCAGTTCAGCAGAGATCCAGACAGGCTGCCGCCGATCTCTTTGCATCACGCGGAAACACGCAGTGCCCTCTGTTCTTTTCCCTGGTGAGAGAAGCTGCACTGTTGGGTGTGGATGCTCTAGCCCACCCGTGGCCAAACACATTGTTTTCCCCCGCTGGGCCAACACTACAGAGAGTACGGGAGTTCAGACATTCACTGATTCTGATTGCACTGTATTGGCCAGGGAAATTGTGGATAGCGGAGATAATTACACTTCTTTATGACCAACTCTGGCCTCTCCCGTTGCGCAGAAACCTTCTTTCTCAGGCGAATGAGGAGATATTTCATCCCACACCCCACAAGATAGCTCTCTGTTACCCTCTAACGCGATTGACACAGTTCAGAGTGCGAGGGCAGCCTCCATACGCTCTCTGTATGGTCATAAATGGAGACAGTAAAGGTCTATCTTTCGGCTATCTCAGCATGTCATGTGGGGCTGGATTCAGGAACGATAAGTTCCTGATATGTCGATTTGTGATGGGAGCGAGACGGTTGTGTCTGGTCACTAAATCCCCGATCCCGTCCTGGGACTTAACCGTGGTTCTGGATGCGCTCTCGTTTTTGTGACAAATTTGTGTCAATACCCAGCCCTAATAGACACACTGTTGTGATTATTTGTAATAATGAAACTTTGCTAAATCTCCAAAGTGATGTTTGAATGTGGCATTGAGTGAAATCTGTTCTGCTGGACTCTTGCAGGGAAACTCAAAGAAGAACAAGAGCCGATAATGTGGACGTCTGTCTCAGTGACGGCGAACATTCCCACACCAAACACCAGACATGTGACAGGAAGCAGCTGATCTCCAGAGGAACCCACGGCTGTGAGTGTGTGTGTGAGTGTGAGTGTGAGTGTGAGTGTGTGTGTGTGTGTGTGTGTGTGAGTGTCTGTGTGTCTGTGTGTGAGTGTGTGTGAGTGTGAGTGTCTGTGTGTCTGTGTGTGAGTGTGTGTGTGTGTGAGTGTCTGTGTGTCTGTGTGTGAGTGTGTGTGAGTGTGAGTGTCTGTGTGTCTGTGTGTGAGTGTGTGTGTGTGTGAGTGTCTGTGTGTCTGTGTGTGAGTGTGTGTGAGTGTGAGTGTCTGTGTGTCTGTGTGTGAGTGTGTGTGTGTGTGAGTGTCTGTGTGTCTGTGTGTGAGTGTGTGTGAGTGTGAGTGTCTGTGTGTCTGTGTGTGAGTGTGTGAGTGTGAGAGTGTGAGCGTGTCTGTGTGTCTGTGTGTGTCTGTGTGAGTGT